ATCAAGCTAGCGTGAGCCAAGATTTGGACTTAACGTCTCAGCTTTGGCTCTTAACCTGTGTACTCCCATGAACAGAAATATGGGGTTCTAGTCCATGACCTATCAGTATTTGTTTTCATTTAAGGATAATGTTTTTTTTTTTTAAGATTTTATTAATTTTTTGAAAGAGATCACAAGTAGGCAGAGAGGCAGGCGGAGAGGGGGAAGCGGGCTCCCCGCCGAGCAGGACACGGGGCTCGATCCCAGGACCCTGGGATCATGACCTGAACTGAAGGTAGAGGCTTTAACCTACTGAACAACCCAGGTGCCCCTAAGAATAATGTTTTATTTGTTTGTTTATTTATTTATTTTTAAAGATTTTATTTATTTATTTGTAAGATCACAAGTAGGCAGAGAGGCAGGCAGAGAGAGAGGAAGGGAAGGAGGCTCCCTGCTGAGCAGAGAGCCCGATGCGGGGCTCAATCCCAGCACCCTGGGATCATGACCTGAGCCAAAGACAGAGGCTTTAATCCACTGAGCCACCCAAGCAACCCGAGAATAACGTTTTAAAGCAGCCTCACTGCACACACTCGATCTTGTGGGAGTTCTTCCTGGCCCATGGCCACAAGGTAGGGAAGCTGAGCTCCAGCGGAACAGCCAGTGACTGGAGTCTGTCTGGGGCTGGTTCCGCAGGGGGCATGGAACTGTGCTGAAAGGAGGCCTTTGGGAAGCTGGCAGCCTTGGCTCTGTGAAGAAAGGGTGCTTCTGTCCCCACGGCCCTGCTGGCCGGCCCTCCCTGCCAGCCACACCTGTTTTGTCCTTCCCCCTACACCCAGCCAGACATCGCTCCCAGAGTGACAGCAGCAACTGGGGACATCTGCAGAAGCTCCCTCTCAGGCCTGACAAAGGCACTAAGAACCTAGCCCAGAGCCTGCAAGAGAGGGAGGTGGAGGCGAGGGTAGGTGGGCGAAAGGATGCAGACAGCTGGGGCCTGGTGTTGCAGACATGGCCCTGCCCCAGAACAGGTGAAGTAAAAGTGAACGGAGCTTTCATGGGTAGAAGAGAAAACAGTGCAGAGACTTTTTAGCACACGATGGCTTCACTTACTGCCTGGGGTGGTTTTGAGCTCGTTGCCCTCTCAGAAAGGACATGACAAAAAGTGGTGAGGAGAAGGCATGGCTGTCAAAAGAGCGTCTCTCCTCAGGCTGGTGGGTGGCACTGGGGAGGAAGTGTAGGGAAAGGACACGAAGAGAGACTGGGAGGGGGGCCATGGAAGGACACCCAGATGTCAGGGTTGAAAAGAATCTGGGACAAGCCCAGCAGAGGGTCTCCCTGAGGCTGATGGGGGATGGACCCAGGGGTCTGCAGGGGAAAAAATATGTTGCTTGGGCTAGGTTGAAAGGAAGAAGCTAGTTTTAGGAGAAGGGGATATAGGCTAAAACAGTAAAAAGAGGAACAGTTGTAATCCCTTAAGTGTACAAGATACCGTCATAAAGCATTGTTTTGCCCTTGGAATTCTCCCAGCCCCTAGAAGGTGTGTTTTCTCTCTCTTTGTCCGTGTAACAAATTCAGTACATCTGCTATGGGCCCCAAAAGTGAGGCTCAGGGGTGTCAACTTCCCTAAGATCCCACAGGGCATTAGCGATAGGCAGGACCAAGACTCTGTCCTGGTGACTGTTTTTTCCACAACCTCTCTTTTCTTCTGTTGAAACCGTAGGTAATGAGGTCTTAGAGGCGGAACCTTTATTCTGCAAAGGAAAGGACAATAGGGACACAAGGAACCCAGCATCATCGATTTGTGATTTTCCCAACCATATTTGTTCCTCGATTCCCCAGACTCCAGTACAGGTCGCTTATTCGGTGAAACACACCATCTGGCCTCCATGGAAAGATCCTGACAGAGAAGGGACAATGGAAAAAAGGCAGGAATGCAGGCCTGGGGCTTGGCGGGGTTGGAGGCGGGGAGAAAACCCCTGTTTAAATAGTAACTGGTGGCAGTAGTTACTTAATAGAGGTGGGTGGGTGGGTAGGGAGGACCTAGCTTCCTTGGAAGCTTTTTTTCCCCCTCTTACTAACACCTTTATTGGAATGTAATTCAATACCACAGAATTCACCCTCGGAAGCTTTTTAATGGTCTCGGGTTTTCCCAGAAGTGGACACTGCTGGTGGTCACTCGGGGCCAAGTCCAGAGAGTTGGTACAGTCCCAGGAAGCCTCTCTAAGGCCATTTTCTGCCCTCATCAGGACCCAGAGTTTGGAAGCCTGTCAAGGGTGCTTTGCCTCCTGGAGTGTCTCTCAGCAGACACACTCCCTGGGCACTGGAGCTCTGTGTTCCTCTCTTCCCTGCAGTTTGTAAAGGTCGAGAAAAGCTTGCTCTGTGGGGAAGGTCCCTGGAACACCTTTTTTTCCCCCCTCTCCAAAGGGCACCCTTCTTGGCTGCCCCAGAGACTAGAGCTTCTAAAACCAAAACTTTCACTTCACATGTCAGTGATTCTGCACTGTCATATCTGCAGCAAAACTGACCTCCAGGGCTTTCTCGGAAGAGCTGCAGCTGTCTATACACATCCTTGTCTGCCCGCCCGTGGGAGGCGCGCTTCTCCTGGGGAGGGGGCATCGGTCGCCATCTTGAGCCCTCCTCCCTTTGACGCACACATGCCCCTCTCCTTCCTCTCTTCTTTCTGAAACGGCGTGAGTCTGGAAGTTGAGTTGGGGTGGAGGGATGTGCTATTGCAAGATGAGCGGGACTACTCCGGGTCAGTGACTTCTGTTTCCCACGCACCCCCTGCCACCTTCCCCTGCTCCTCGTGCTGCTTCCTGGGCCAGGCCCAGCTACCCCGCATGGGACAGGAGGAAGTCCTGGCCCCACGAGGCTGCGTGAGGAGTGCCCTCTGGAGTGGCTCCCATCCGTTTCCTGGAGGTTGGGCCCTGGCTCCACGGTGGCAAGCTCTTCTAGGAATGTGCTTCCCAGCTGGGTTTTCTGGTTGGTTGGGAACATCCCTGGGCCGGTCTGCCCTGGCTCTCAGGGGCTTGCTCTGGGGCTGGCTTGAGGCCAGATTTCAGGGTTAGGCCCGGTGGTGGGGGTGGGGAGGACAGGATGGCCAGAGGCCTGCAGAGGAAACCTGGCAGCAGTGGGCACTGGACACCAAGTCTTTGCTTTTGCTTCCCTCACTTGGATGAGGTGTCGGTGGGAATGAAGAAATCAGACAAATGGAAAAAAACGAAAAGGCTTTACACCGAACCTCTGCCTAGGAGTCCTGAGAATCTAGCCTCTACTTGGGGGACTGGGCCTGCATGCCTCAGCACCCCAGTCCCCCAGCTGCTCACTGCCTTCCTCTGGGGGAGCTGGGAAGAGGAACAGAGAAGTGACAGATGATTGACTTGCCCTGTGATCTTGCGCAAGTCCCTTAACCTATCTGAACCTCCGTATGCTCGTCCATAAAACCAGGGGGATAAAACTCACACATACGTAGGGTTGTTAAGTAGGCTCTGTGTGGGGACATGCTTTAAGAATTGTCAGAAACAGGGGTGCCTGGGTGGCTCAGTGGGTTAAAGCCTCTGCCTTCGGCTCAGGTCATGATCCCAGGGTCCTGGGATCGAGCCCCACATTGGGCTCTCTGCTCAGTGGAGAGCCTGCTTCCTCCTCTCTCTCTGCCTGCCTCTCTGCCTACTTGTGATCTCTGTCTGTCAAATAAATAAAATCTTAAAAAAAAAAAAAAAGAATTGTCAGAAACAATACTGTCATAGCAGATGCTGAATTCCAGAGCCTGGGCTTTTCTTTGTTGAAGGTGGTTTCCCTGGCTCCTGCATTCACTTTTTACAATCACGGAATCCTGGATTTTAAACCGGAAGGGAGTTTTAAGAGGTCATCTGGTCCAGTGCCCTGGCATAATGATGGCTGTTTTGAAGATGAGACTGTTTTAGGTTGTCCTTCTTTTGCCGTATGTGTTCTATCCTGGTACAGTAAGCCCTTTTCCTCCTGGGTGAGGTGTGAGGTCCAGGGGCGCACAGGTGCTCCTGCCAGCAGAGGCATGGAACAGGACGAGACGGTGGTGCTCCTCCTTGGGAGCAAGGCTGGGTCTCTGTCATCTCGTCCCCAGCGGCAACCCTGCAGGCTCGGAGGGTCTGGGAGGATCCCATTCCACTGCCTCTCCCCTTCTCCCTGAGAAAGCAAGAGATTCTCTGGCTTCTCAGGACTGGGCCCAGGGGAAGGCCGCCGCCAGGACAGTGTTTTTCTTCCTTCAGAGGCAAACGTCCTTCTGACCCATCTCTTTGGGAAAAACAAAAACCAAAACAAATGGAAAGAACCTCCCCTGGACTTTCTCCTGGCCCTGGAGCTTCACTGAACGTGGGCGCCAACGAGAACCTCCGGGAGCAGAAATGTTCCCCATCTTTCTGGCATTCAGGCCAGGAGGGGGGTTAGGAGGGAAGGGAGGGGGAAATGTGGGCCTGCAGTGAAAAGCTGCCCCAACTCTGCACTCAGTGGCTAGAATTAAACCCAGGAGCTTTTCATCACCTCAGTAACTGGTCTTTTACAGGGGCTGGGACGTTTCTCAGTAACCTTTCCACCACTAGGATGCCAAAAGTGAAACTTGGGGAAACTTAATGAAGTGCCTTAGAGAGGATTGTGTATGATTTACCGGATCCAAAACCAGAGTGCTTTTTGTGGAAAGAAAGCGACTTGTGTCCTCCCCAACATCACATACACACTTTCCTGGCAGGCCCGATGGGTTTCCAAGCATTTCGTCACCGTCTCCTTCTGACCTTGGTGTGAAAGGAACAGGCCGCGTGGCCTCTCGGTTCCAGCAAAGCCAAGGGGGCGCCGGCCTGGGCTGAGGGAGGAGGGCGACCCGTTCAGCAGTGGAGGTGAGGTCTGCTGGAAATCCCCAGCCCGGACAGCCGCCCGAGGTTTAAAGACGCCTCCTTCGGCCTTATTTGGTCGCAGGAAGTGGGCGGCGCCAGGCCTGCTGGCGGTGCGGCCGACCCGAGACAGTTGTGCTGATGGAGTGGTGGAGCTGGTTCCTGCTCGCCGCCGTGCCGCGCGCGCCGGTCGGCCGCTGGGCGCTCCGCGCTCCCAGCCCGGAGTTGTGCAATCCTTTGTAGCACGCCAGAGTCCTCCTCCTTCGCTGTTGCCTCTCACCCTCTCTCTCTCTCTCTCTCTCTTTTTTTTTTTTTCAAGCTGTGAGCTCAACCGATGAGTCAGAGCAGTGCAATCCTGACACTGCATCGCAGGACTGGGGGTGACACGGAGGGAGGGAGAACGATCGCGAGGCAGACACCGCGGGCGCGGGCTGCGCCGAGGCTCCTGCGCCGCAAGCGAGGGGTGACAGCCCGCGCGTCCCGCCCGGGCCCCGCCAGCAAACTTCCCAGCCTTGGGAGGCGCGGGCTGGCGGAAGCCCTGCGAGCGCGGCGGGGAGGCGGAGGCGCCTGTTTGTTTTTAAAATCCGGGAGTGCGTGCAGGCGGCTGGAGCCTGGGAGGCGACCGAAGGCGGCGGCCCGCGGCGGAAGGGGGACGGCCGATGCTGGAGCTCGGGCAGGAGCGGGGTAAGTGGGGTGCCGGGCTGGCTGCCGAGGCCTGCACGCGGCGAGGCGCAGCCCGCCCTGGCGGCGGCGGCGGCCCAGCGACCCGGGGCTGCGCGCAGGCGGTGGCGGCCGGGCGCGCGGGCTGCAGCTCTGCAGGCGCGGCCGGGAGCTGGAGCGCGGGGCTGCGGGGGGCGGGGGGCGCGGGGCTGCGGGGGGCGCGGCGCGTCAACTTCTGCCGCCTGGGCGGCCGAGGCGGGGTGTGCGTGTGTACGTGCGTTCGCCGCCCCGCAGCCCGCGCCTCCGCGGCCCGCACCTCCAGCCCGCCGCTGCGTGTGCCCCGCCAGCCCGCCGTGTTTGTGCAGCTACGCAGCTCGCTGGCGGCCCCCGCCCACCCGGGCGCGGCCCCGGCAGGAAAACCCTTCGGAGCCGCCTGGCCCGCGGGGGCGGCGGCGGCGAGTCGGGAATCAGGCTCTTGCTCCGCCGGAGGGAAACGTGGTGTCCGCGGAGACCGGCTTGCGGGACTGAGCCCAGGCCCCGGAGGAATCGGGAGGGGCTCGCGCGAGCTGCGGGAACTTGGCGCGGGAGCCCCTGACCCGGGTCCTGCCAGCGTGCACGGCAAAGTGGACATGGAAACCGTGCCCGCGCCGGGAGTGTGGGGGACAGACGTGCAGGGGCGGCAGGGAGCTGGGACAGGAGCGGCAGAGGCCTAAGGGGGAGCGCTTCGGGCGGGCCGGCCGGCCTCACCCCGCGCACCCTGGCGCTGCTGGCGCACCTCAGACCTGTCATCCTTCTCGGCCGCCCCCGCACGCCCGCGCCTCTGCGGCCTGCTAACTCTCCGCGCGCCTCGCCGCGTGCTGTGTTTGTGGGTGCCGGTCCGGAACTCGGGGGCCCGGGTTTTGTCTGGACCCTGCACATGGCCGGCTTGGTGGAGGTAGTTCTACCCTCCCAGGCCACGCTGACGGGAGCGGGAGCGTGTGCACCAGGTTGCCCCCCCTGCTGGGCCCCCACCCAAGCCTCTGGCTAAGGGCCTGGTGCCGCCCTGCGATTTTCAAGCCTCAGCCCCGAGGAAGGCAGACCTGGAGGAAGTACCTGCGTCCGGCCAAAGTGGAGGCCACTGTGTACTCCGGCCCAGCCTCCAGAGCTAGCTGCTGGAAAGATGAAAGGGGAAGTTACTGCCCCACTTAAAACTTTGTTGGTAACAACTTTGTTGGCTACTTCCTGCTTCCACCATCCCACATCGGAGCCGTGTGCCAGCCTGCGGAGCCCGGCCGGTGGGATGCGAGGAGATCTGCCTGGCTGAGGCTAACTATGGAGGCCGCCGAGGCACGTGTGTGCAGGGGATCCCTGTTGGCAGTTGCGGCTGTGGGGGGAGGGGAGGTCCGGCTTGCTCCAGCAGGGGGAGCCTGGCCTGTGGAGGTCTGGAGGGCTGGCCTCTCCTTGTCCATGCAGCTTCAGGACTGAGATTGGAGGCCTGGTGAAGGTGGAGGGACAGCAGCTCTGAGGAGAAGCCTGTCCTCCCCTGTGGAGCCCAGGGGGAGGAGGGAGAACCACATGTCCTGCTCCAGAGCCCCCCAGAGACGGTGTGGCACATATTGGAGAAATAGAGAAATGCACCCTTTCCATAGGCAGTCGGATGGCTTCGGGACAGAGAGGGAAAGGAGAAACCTTCCTAGGTTGAGAATTTATGGGTCCTTTTTTTCCTCCTGCTCTGGACAGTGAGTAAGAGGGGTGTAAACATTCAATTACTGTGATAAACCATCTCATTGCATGGTCCTGGCCCAGTCTCCATTCTATTTGTATTGGCCTCTGGCTGGTTACTCTGATCTCTGTAAAGCCTAGGGGACAAGGCTATGAAGAACCTAGAGGGTGCTCCCCCTCCCTGCACCGCCATACAGCTTACTCTGGGACAGTCTGCCCATTGCCCGCTGTGGCTTTTCCAAGTGCCAGGCCGACTCTCACCTCACCTTAGGAAAGGGTGTCCTGGAACGCCCATGAGGATGAGAGTTCAACTTTTAAGTACTGGATTTAAAAATAACCCAATTGTTTAGCCCTGTGGGCTGCTACTTTTAATAAATGGAGGGGAAAAAGGCAGTATGCAGCTATAGATTCAGTTACGGGCTGCCCAGTGTCTGCAGAACCCAGGGAAGGGCTGCACTGTGGAGCCAGGAGAAGAGAGGAATGGGAGGGGGACGTTGCGGGGGCAGGCACCTGGGGCAGAATGTCTTAGAAGGGGAATGGGCCAGTCTGGGAATCTGGCCTTGAGGGCCCCTCTCCTGCAGCTGGGTCTCGCAGAAGGAGGCCTTGCTCGCAGAGGAGTGGGGATGACCACAAGTAGCTGGGAGAATCCTGTGGATCCTTTTAGGCCTGTTTCAAATGGTACTTCTTTGGCGATGCCTCAGCCCTCTTCTGAACACTCATTTCCGCCTTATGTAGTCATTTGTGTATATACCGTACTCTGGTGCTCAAAACATAAACTCAGAGGAGTCTCCCAACCTCCGTCGCGTAGTTGCAGTGAGGAGTCTATACATGAAAGGCCAAAAGTATGTCTCAGCATCACCCTCACCTCTGCCCTAGTATATGTCCCCTGTTGTTCTCACAATGCCTAGCTTCTGGTCGGCATTTAGTACATGTTGGTTGAACAAATGGATGAAAGATCTCCGGCAGAAAAATGTGGACTTGCATGGGGCGGGCCCCGTGAGTCTCGCCACTGCTGGGATTCATACCGCACCGTTGGTTTCAGGAGAGGTCACTCCATGAGTGAGTCTGGTGCTGGTGAGCCCAGTTCCTTGGCCCCACACTACAGCTGGCCTTCCGGAGAGCTGGAGAATGTGTCTGGTCATTCTGACCCCTGCGGGACCTTGGGGTAAAAGTGGGAAGCCTCCTGCCTTGCGAATCTGCTAACCTGGACATTTCCTTTCCCTGGGCCAAACTGGCATCCTTTTTGTGTGCGTGTGCGTGTGTATCGGTACAGAAGCAGCCTGCGGGCTCTGTTCTTCCCTGACTCACCAGCAGCTGCAGGAAATGCAGCCAGGGGTTGCATTCCGTTGGAGGGGTTGCTGCTGCCCCATGGAGCTGTGACGCTGTGGGGCTGAGTTTGCACACCAAGGCTGGAGCTAGGCGGAGTGTGCCGAAATCCCCAGGTCTTACTTAAGGGATCTTGCATTTGCATTCGAGGCAGCATTCAGGATACCCTGAGACTATGAGCTCATTTTATGAATCAGAAGCATTACAGCATAAATTTGGTATTGGAAACTGCTGTTTGGAATCCAGATTGCCCCTCCCTCCACCCCAGCACGTGCACACTTATGGGGTCTCTCACAGCCACACACTTGGGAGTGATAACAGTTGGTGGGGGGGGGGCTTCAGTTCAAATTCCAGAGCCATCAGGCAAAGCTTCCGCCCCCACACTTGGGACGCAATTCCTGGACGGTGTGTGGACAGTAACCCGGGCGGTGACTACGAAGGAAGCCCAATAGGTGCACGGGAACAAGGACTGGGCAGACCTTGGGGTTCCCACTCCAGCTTCTCTACTTGCTGTGTGGCTTTGGGCCTTGCTAAACTTCCTGAGCCTCAGTTTCCTTACCTGTAAAATGGGGATGATCCTAGTACTTTGTAGGATTGCTGGGCAGGTGAAACAAGATCTTGCATGCGGAAGGGTGCATAGTAGGTACTCAACAGATGGGGGCTGTCATTTCCCTGGTCCCTCCCAAGTTCAGCTGTTGCCTTTTACTCTTCCCAGGGAAGAGGAAATGAAGCGTGTCCTGCCTGTGGTTGGAGGGCCCTCCTGCGGGGCATTGGGGCATGTGTGAATGAAGCTCCTTTTGTAAGTCCCTAGGCCCAGGGTACAGCTGTGTGATCCTCTCACCTAGACAGGCCCAGATCCTGGTGCCTCTGCGCTTTTGCAAGGGATTCTGTCCCTGCAGCCCAGAGTTAAGGGCTCAACTTCCCAGAGATCAGATTGTGCTCTCGGGAACCTACCCACCCAGGCCTCAGGGTGAACTGCTCACGTGGGTGGGAGGAAGGCTGCTTTCTCAGCCACGGAAAAAGTCCCCTTGTCTTTGCTTCACCTGAAGCCTCCCAGTGTGACCTCAGTGGAGGGTTGGGTGGAGCTGAGGGTGGGAGTTGCCCTCTAAAGAGCTCTTGGGCTCTTTGACCAGTTGAAATACTCTTTCACCGGTTGGAATAGCAGGGGAGGGGGAGACACCGAGGTATTATATAAGAAGAAAGTTGCCACATGTCAGAAAAGAGGTGGGTTTTTGCTGGGGTGGGGGTGGCGGGTCTCCCTGAGGGACACAATTACGGGCTGTGGTTTGCCGGGTTGGTAGGGAGGAGGGGGGCTGGGAGCCTGAGGCTTCCCGGGCAGCCCTTCTTGCTCTTGCTCTTTCTGGAACAGAGCCCAGTGCTGTGGCCAGCTGGGGAAGGTGCTCCCTGTTCCCTCTGCCTTTCTCTCCAGCCGCAGGGAGCTTGTGGGTTATTTTTTCCAGGCAGTGCTTCTTCCTCCAGGAGTCTCAGGAAGGGGGGAGGGGAACAGCCAGGGCAAGATTTGACCAGGCCAGAGCTTGGATTGGGGAACGTCTACCAGGCTTGCAGCCAGAAGGGGGTTCCCTGTGAGGCTGCCCAACTTCTCTGGGGAAATGGGGTCCAGAGAGGAAGGAAAATGGTGAGGGATTTCAGTTCCCAGCTTTTTCCAGCAGTTGGACAGACAGAGGCCCAGTCCAGCCTGCTGTTGGCAGAATTTGTCGGCTCCTTGTGGGGGAGGGCCCCAGAGCTCAGAAAGGGGCTCAGAAAAGCTTAGGTGATAACTGGTAACTCTTAAGAGTGCGCCTGGGCTGGCTTTTTCCCCCTCTTCCTTCTCTTCTACCTCCTCCTCTACCTGGTCCTGCCCCTCCCCCTCCCAGCCTCCTGGCAGCTCCTGGGGAATGTACCTGGCTGCTGCCCGGATTCTCCTTCCCACGTGACCTTGCTGGATCTGACCTCCCCAGCGGGCCTGGGTCACGATCCTGGGCTCCCCTGCTCCCAGG